ACGCGCTCGAAAGCTTGTAGAGATTTTTTGATGCGATTATCGTCATCTCAAAAAAACGAGCTATATTTCGCAGATTTCTTTATATTGTTTCAGTAGCTTGGAATTTGGGACACGCAGATATACAAAGAGATGACACGATATTTCTGCAATCATAAGTTTTGTGAATGATGAGAATCAGTCGATGGAGAGATTGTCCACCGACATCCAGCATTTTTTTAAACGATTCTGTACAATTCCATATCAAAGTAATTAAAATTGCCGAGTGGATTAATCGACGCGCGATGAATATTTTGGATTTAATGGACCACAGTTTACAAAAATACATGGCGATTGTTCGACAAATATAATACATTACCCAACGTATCAATTACAGATAAGACGAACGATAATTGTAGCGCAAGAATTTAGATAAAAGATAGAGATTAGAGGCAGATTGACGTTTTTGCTTGACGAGTATACATATATAATGTAAGGTTGGCGAAATCTTAACGCGAACTGAAAATATGTCAATGACTTTTGCTAGGAGGCTGTGTGCGCGCGCGTTTATTTACTCTGATCATTTTGCGGCGACGTGCCGCCATCTTGTTTTTACGACTACCCCGGACATGCCCTTATATTAGTCTTCTGTGGTGAACAAAATCTTCTCGTGATATTCCTTATTTGGTAACGCGAAAATCTTTATTCTAGCTTGAATTTCTACTGCGATTGATATTTGAATTATCACAATAAGAACGGTAACTAGATTTCGCGATGATAATGATAGTAAAAATACTGAATATGTCTTTACAGTAAGATTTTTTACGCATGAGATAGAGGCAGAATAAATCAGACTAATTTACATAAATTAGACAAAATTAAATTTTAATATATCCCACCTATCATATATTCCACCTATCATCCCGTAAAAAGACCGGCATGTTTTTTGCGTTTTACGCTAAAACAATGAACGATAGTAATTCGCAGGATAAGATTTTTTCGGACGGCACATTGTCAAAATAATACTATCCCACGAATTGTCATCTAAAACCATTTAGGCGCAACTTAGAAAAAACTTTATTTTTGTGTAACGGGTCCGCTTTCGCGAGTGCGCGGATTAACTCTGCCGGGATCAGGGCTCGAGAAAGTGGTGAGACACACAGTAGACAAGGATGTAAATTAGTCTGATTTATTCTGCCTCTATCTCATGCGTAAAAAATCTTACTGTAAAGACATATAGACTTTGCAAATTATTATACTGAAGAAAATTATCTAATGATTAAAATATATTTTCTCTCTCTCTCTCTCTCTCGTGTTAATAAATTTGATATTTTGTATAATTTCCAATTTAATACTTTCTTTTTGAAAGCCTATAATTTTTCGATATAAAGTAGAGAAACTTACTTTTGATTTATAAGCAATATTTCAATATCTAACGGTAATAAAATATTTCAAGAAAATAAAAGACAAATATAATAAAAATAATCATTATATCTGATATTGTTTAGTAATAAAATATTTCAATATTTTATTTTTAAATAACATCAGATATAATATTAGTTATTTTTATTATATTTGTCTTTTATTTCCTTCGTTACATAATAAAAAATATTTTTAAATAACATCAGATATAATATTAGTTATTTTTATTATATTTGTTTTTTATTTCCTTCGTTACATAATAAAAAAAAAAAAAAAAAACGCTTTGTATTATAATACTTCGTTCTATTTAGATCATCTGGATCTGTCCTTCTTTTTAAAATTTTTCCTTTTGGAAGTATCACTTTGATGGCAGTAATTTTTAGCGTCGGAAATCGACACAAAGATTCCACGGTAAAATATTTCCAAAGTCGCGTTTTAACCATTTGACAAATCGCTACATTAAACCGCCGTTGAACACGCTAACGACGACGACTTCGTACGACGATATCGTCGGATACACGAAAGCGCGATCAAGCACGAACCAATTTCGTAAGAAGACAAACAAAGATGTAATGTACGACTTTTCTTTTTCTCGACTCTATACTTTTCGAGAAACAAATCGACGCTATAAGCAAATTTCATTAATCCTTTAATAGAGATTTGCTTTCTAATACCTGTGCGATGCGAGTCCACACACACGTTTAAATGTCAGATTGGGAACAAGCGGCGCCTTAAACGCAGTTAATTAACAGGAATCGAGAGTGTTATCATCAAACCCTGAGTTATGGCTGGCAGAGCGGAGCCTAATTGGTTTTACGAGACGGTCGCTTCTTCCCCTTTTCTCGATATCAAAAGTTCCCGGTCACTTTGGCGGAGACCGTTCCTCTTCCTCGCCTCGTAACAAACGCCATTAATTAATTGTTCGGCATCGATCGTATGCGCTACTCGATAGTAAACATCGTTACTCGTTGAGACGATCCTGTGCTCCAGAGAGACTCGCAAGGTATCATCAATAAAAAAACAAGAAAGAAAACATAAACGCCGCGTATTTAACGTATCAACGTGAAACACAAATAACGGCTAAAAAAACCACTATGTAGGTTACGGGAGTTGTATAGCAGACAACGTTTCTCTTAATAAAAATCATCAATATAATATTCCTTCTTATTCTTTAATTTTTTAGTTATTTCGATACTCTGATGGGCAGAAGATTGATAATCGTTCCATTATCGCTTCTATTAAAGAAATATAAGCTTCCATTTTTATAGAAATATAGATTATATATTTTTTATGCCCCACGTTATCATCACCTTATCCATGTCACGAAAGTTTTGTCGGAACCTTTGCGAATCCTTGTACAGGCGTGTATCTGACCATTCTGCGAAGGTAATTACGAGTTATAAGAAAGAGAGAGAGAGAAAGAAACCGCGCCGGCATTAGTCTAGTACACCGCGATAATTTAACGAAGTATAATAGCTACTACGCGATTATATCGTCCTAATAAGCGCAAGAACGATGACGCAAGAGAGCCTTTCGCGCGCGAGCGGGATAAGAATGTGAGAGGCCAATGTGAGGTCGAAGCTCGCTGGAGCGAATTACGCGGGTGGTCGCCGCGGGAACAAAACCGAGAGAGCGAAATATGGTGCGGTCTGTTCTTTCTTGATGATGATGCTCGCCGTATCATCATAATTTGCGTGCCACTCGCACGTCGCCGACAACATATTGCACGAGGCAATTGTGAGAAATCAATCGGGAATATTCCCGATGCGGTCTCTCGAATCATTTATCAATTGTAGTCATTATGTCGCGCGCATACACGCGTATACGTGTTTGTGCGTGCGCGCCTCCAAGCGTAATCGAGGATCGCTGATTACATGCCGTATAAATCATGCATTTCTCGCAAATCACGAGGAATCGAATGAAAATTGATGGGACGATGACTAATTGCAAATATTTTTTTATTCCCTTCTCTCATTCCCGTAACATTCATCGAATATATATTTAAGAATCTGTCAGAGGTATTATTTATAGGTAGTTGATTGCTTTACAGGAGCGTGAGATATCTCGCGGTTCGTCCGATACACATTTTGACGTTTACGGATCGATGAGGAAAATCGCGAGTGAACGCGTTAATGAGATTATTATTTGAATCGCTCGCGATGGGATCTATTTCTGGACAAGGGGCGGCGATAAAGGACGAACGGGGTAAAACGGGGGGTGGAGATAAAGGGGCCGCGTAATGGGATAATATTCGCTCGATGGCCCTTTTACCCTTTATAACGATGATTCCTCGGTTTTGCAGCAAATTGTGCGGGAGAGGATGAGCCCGGTCGACAAAACGCGAGGAGAGATACTCGGTCCATTCGTATATCTCTCGGCGAAAAATATCTCGTTTCTTTCGCGTTGCCGTTGTCGCGTCGAAAAAAAAAAAGAAAAATTGAAAGAAATGTATCTCGATAGAATAGCCGACATTCATTCGTGTATTCGTATAAATATCGCTTAAACACACGCGATCCTCGGATCGAGTTTATGCGGGGGGAGAGTGGAGGGGGAAGGGGAAAGGGGAAGCCATAATGAGAGGGTACCTGGAGCATATTACTCGTGTTATTTAGCAATAAATCAAAGTTGAAAATGTAGACCGTTATTGTACATGACGCTGACTATATCCCTTTGTTCCTCGCTTCGAAATTGCATCGAAATAAGTAGTACGTCGACGATTGTTTCTTATAAATACGAACTGGTTGAACGCAGACACGATTCCGTAATCCACGACGAGAGATTACATTCCAGCGTTATCAATTCTCTAATTAATTCGGTGAATAATTTGAAAGCTCATACAGTTGGGAATCGCACACAATCGCGGAAATGTTGATCGTTGAGCTACAATCACTAAATTCGCTTTAACGTTCGAATTCTCCTCGGATATACCGTGTTTTAATCCATTAGCAGCAGCCGAGGACGGCGATTTGCTTTCGCGATATCCACGCGCAGGTTATTGCGTATCCGGTCTTTGGTATATCCTCGTGAAATTGGTAATATCGCGTACTTTCTCATTACATATGAAAATCCATTCGCTCGCACGCGGCATTTAGCGTAGTTACTCGCGCTCTATTACTACGCTAAGGGAGATAAGTGTTTAATGACACCGATAGCCGCCTATCGAGACGTAATAAAAGACGGAGCGAGCGGATATTAAGCGAGAGAGACGTTGGAGCGATGTTCGACGAACGTAAATTACGATATCGTCCGTCAAAAACTTTGTCCGTCTATCGAACTATCGATTATATCGCATTAATATCGTAATGACTCGGATATGAATAATAAAACGCCGGCACATCTTTACGATGACATTTTTCGATGACAGTTCGTTATTTCAAGTAAATTCCTCCTAATCCATAGAGCGACCTACCGTGTCACTTCAACTAGGATATTTCTTTAAACGTATCGACAACCTGTTCAATTTAAATTTAAACGCTCCTATATTTAGAATACCGTAAAAGGGACACGCGCTGACGTAATAGCGACAGAATGTCGCCAGCAGTGTGTATAGGAAACGTCCGCTTATCAACTATTCTTTTTCCTTTTTCTCTTTCTTGACGTAGTGGCCGGAGCATTTCCGAGGCGGATCGGTCATCCCTATCAGAACCGGACGCCGCCGAAGAGGAAGAAGCCGAGGACCAGCTTCACGAGGCTGCAGATCGCCGAGCTGGAGAAGCGTTTTCACAAACAAAAGTACTTGGCATCCGCCGAACGAGCGGCGTTGGCCAAGTCGCTGAAGATGACGGACGCGCAGGTGAAAACCTGGTTCCAAAACAGACGGACGAAATGGAGGTGAGTCGAGGCGATATTTTATAACGAAACCCGAAATATCGTGGCGATTTATCGCGGCGACGTTTGTTAACGACGATTTGTAGAACGATCGTTGTTTCCACGACGAATGAATCTTCCGGAGGGAGAGGGATGGGGGACGAGGAAGGGAAGGGAAGGAAAACGCGAGCTGGAAACCGCGCTCGGAATGTTAATAGCGGGTTAGCCGCGGCCTGACGCGTATATCTGTAAACGCATTGGCAGTCAAATGTATTGGAGTCTCTTCAAGATAAGGGAGAACGAAAACACGTCATTTAGATAAAAAAAGGGGGCGTAGGGGGCCCGTTTGCAGCGCGGGTCTCCGATACCGGGGGCGTCTCGGCGGCGAGACGGCGGGCCCTGACGACATTCTCCGAAGGATTCTCTTTGTCTCTCTATCCTTCCATCTCGTATATACGGCATACCCATCGTTCTGTTCTCTCTTCGTTCTCCTCGACCGCGTCAGAATTTCTAAAATCATCGTCGCGCTGTGGAGTCCTTGGATCGTTTTCTACGAAATGCGCGTTGATAAAGCGGTAAAAGTCCCTGCGGAGAGATTTCCGAGGGTTCACGACGATGATTCTTAAACGTCAACCGTGCCACGATCGGTCGATGGACCTTTTCGACGGATCGTTTCGTCGTGTTTTCCGTATTAGTCGGTGAGACGGTTTGTCGAGAAATTAAATTTCGGCAAATTTAAATTTTCGATGTTGCAAATATCGCGATAAGGATCGTTTCTTCGATGTCTCTTCGAAAAATATCGCGAATCAAAAATTCTTTCAATTTTAACGTGCGCTATTTACACCGGTATTGTCACGTGACGTGCGGCTTGAGAAACGACGTGGCGTTAAAATATGAACCTTTCTAATTTCGTTTGTGATAATTGCCTAATTGCGAGTCTCGAACAGACTTAGTTACAATCATTATTCAATTTCCCGATCTACTTTTGGTATGAAAGCGGCTTAAAATTATACAATGTAAAAACAGTTACTTTTATCTGTTAAAATACGCATCTCGCAGAAATCGTGTGTTCTCAAACACGGGTTACAATAAAAATCAATTGATTCTATTTGCTGGCTCTCTCTCTCTCTCTCTCTCTCTCTCTCTCTCTCTGTCTCTCTATCTTTTTCAATTTTCAATATTGCATAACTCAGTAATTGACATCTCGATATCGAAAGGAAAACCGCAAGAGCTTCTCGCAACAAGATCTATCTCTCTCTCTCTCTCTCTCTCTCTCTCTCTCTCTTTCTCTCTCTATCTTTTTCAATTTTCAATATTGCATAACTCAGTAATTGACATCTCGATATCGAAAGGAAAACCGCAAGAGCTTCTCGCAACAAGATCTATATATTGTCTCCGATTACGGACGCAAGTTCCAAGACTTATCTCATACGTGTCTCATATGCATATGGAGACGAGCGAGAAGTTTTTTGTCGTCGCGAGAGAGGAGCAAGCGTAAAATTCAATTTAGAATCCGACGACATGCGTTATCTGTCTCAGTACGCTCGGGAACGTTATCGCCGTGACAGGTACATTTGTCTAGAATGTTACGACGAGTTAACTTCACGTCGGAGTGACAAGTACATCATTTTTAATTAAAGACGCACGCACGACAGGGTAATAATGCGCGCGATCAATAACGCGTCACCGCGCGCGGACTTTTTCCTGTTTGGGAGTCGCGCTGTGGAAATATATGGAAACAAAAATCTCGGGAAGGGACATGACCGTCGGAAATCTTAGAGAAATTTTCGAAATTTTTCTTTCTTTTTTATTTAACGAGAGATCTCTCTTTCTCTCTCAGTTTATTTTTTTTTACCAGAGTGTCTACTCAAATTTTGTAAAAAAAATTCTCTGAAAATTCCCTAATCTTCCAGTATTTTTGTTCAAAATTCCAGGTAAAGAGAATATTTTTAAAATTTTTTATCACTAAAAATTACAATAAAAAATATATGTACTGCATATTTAATATTGTATTAAATATACAAATAGAGAGATAGATATATATATTTATAATATATTTTAAACACATAATTCATAACTTGACTTATCGGCGGAGAGATTACCGATTGCTTACAATATAAAAATATTATCAAAGAGAATTTTTTTAAATTCCCCGATAAAATTTTATTAAAAATTTTCCCAATAAAATTCCATGAGAAATCCCTGATTTCTCCAGGTATAGAAGAAATTCCTGAGGATTTCAGGTTTTCATGTTTTCCCAGAGAGTAGATACTTCGTTTACATAGAGCAAAACTGCAGACAGCAGTTCGAGCTTGTTCGACGATCAAAATCGTCGAGAAATTCGAAGAGGATGCGCGCGCTCTCGTCTTCCTCGGAGCGCGCATAACACGCAGAGCCTTAACGCGACGCGAGTGCGCGGTGCGGTCCGGCGTGCAGCTGCGTTTAAAGTAACGAGATGACTGTAGGCAGAGATGAGATAACTCGGCCTCAATAATTCAGATACCTAACAGCTTAGCCCTGTCCCGTACATAATGTAGTCTCTTCCCTCCCGTCGCGCGCGCACCCCATCTCCCCCTTCTTCACCGTCTCGCTTTGACTGCCAATCCTCCGCGTTCCCCCCTTTCCTTCCCCCCGTCACCTCTTTCAGCCCCTCCGCGGGAGAGCTTCTTGGCTTTTAAACTGTCAAACGTTCTCGAATCCGTTGGCTGAATCGTTTCGATCTCTGCCGGGCCGGTTCGACCCCACCGATCTGCGTCGTTAAACATTCATCGGTTACAGTGTAGGATCAGGCCGGTAACGTTCAAACACGACTCGCAGGCACGACGATATATCGCCCGCGTTTAATATAGCAGGTAGTGCGTAAGAAAAATCAATCCGCATTATGCGCCGCGATTCGGGATGATTAGAGTTTATTGTCGCAAAAAGTTTTAAAAGTGTCTTTGAGATACCAGTTTTAACACAATGTTACTAAATTATAAAAGCGTCAAGATCTCACACGTTGAAATATTTTTCTTTAAATTATTTCGGTAATTAATAAAACAGAAATATAATAATGAATCGCGATGAGAGGAATATGACGGGTTAATTAGAGCGAAAGAATCGCGAGCTCGCGTTCTGTCATTCTGTCCGCGAGTCGATCTCTACATCGGGTTCCGAGAGCGTGCGCTAAAGTATAAAGATAAGAGTAATGTGTCCCAGGTTGCGAGAGAATATGGTTATGCCGGCCGCAGTGGATAGGGCGAGGCTGCGTCGGGGGCTGCAAAATGTAATCGGCACGGTGTCGTCAATTATTAATCGCTAACCGCGTTAATTACTTGCAGAGGCGTAGGTGCACCTGTCACTGCCGCAATGGCGTAGCCGCAATGGATTTCGGAGACGGGCGGCGGCGAGAGATTCAATCGCCACGGACGGCTGATAAAAGCAATAACGCGCGTTAAATTCTCGCTCCGTTTCTATTTTCAATTGTATTTTACTCTCTCGCGATGCGATACACCATTCGTACTGTTACTTATTCATTGCCGTGACAACGCGCAATTATTAACCCTGGAACACTAACAGGGATGAATAAAGTAAACCCGGAGAAAGTTTAAAAATTTTGCCACGTATTTAAATAAAAGAATATTAAATACTATACATCTTATAATGTAAAAAGAATGCTATAATTTATTATAGTAATAAATGTTTTTATTATAATTAAAAGTATTTAATTTAATTTAATTTAAAAGTATTTATTACAATTTATATTAATAATAAAAGGATATTAAATTTCTATTATAGATGTTTGACAGATCAACAAAGCATTCATGTGTGTTTTTTTGAATATGTTGAATGTTTAAATGTGCAGATGTTATTTTACGCAAATAAAAAGTAAAACGCCTCGCGTCTCGTTTAGCAATTACATATGCTTGTTAAGGAGATCGATTCGATAAACGAGGAGAGTCACAATATCAAGACGAAGGTTCGAGAGTACGTTCGGGATCGACGACTTTCGGGAATCGGAAAGTAAATTTCGAAACGGCAAGCGATCGCCGCGTCGCCGGTACCACCGGGTAGCTCGTTAATACGTATCGGGCAAAGAAAATTACAGGAAGTTGTTTGTCGGATCGTGTTGCTCAACTCGCGGCCGAAAAAGGCGGGCAAAAAGAGGGTCAACGAGATAGTACCTGCGCCGCGATAGGACGTAACGCGGCATAATTCGTAAGGAGGACACGGACGTCCGCGCCACTGGTCTTTAGTGAGGTCCACGGGCATTATACCAGGAGGAGAACCAGTTTTAGAAAATTATAACGATCGCGCGCCACACAAGCAATTGTGTTAGTTGTAGGGAAACGGGATTAGCTCGCCTCCCATCGGGTTCGTCCTGTCACGGAAGCTCATTTCGTCAGAGTGATCGTCAAAACTGCAACGTCTAGGCAAATCTTGAAATAGACGCGTTTATTCGTAACTGCTGTTGTAACAATGGTGTGATCAAAAAAAATTTGTTTTTTGACGCAAAAATGAGATTAAATAAAAAATATAATATTCTTAACAACAAACACACAATGATACGATGAAAAAAGTTTGCTGTTCACCATCATTTGGGCGATCGCGCGCGCAAGCTCTATCGACCTTACCAAACGGGTCGGCCATTTTGCGGCGCCCTAATAGATTTAGCGCTAGAAAACAGACATCGCGCGAGCCACCCTGCGGCAAGGTGGTTGCCGCTTCCCGCCATAGTGACGAATCGAATTAACTTTATTACATCCGTCTTCTGTTTTCCGCCCCAACGACCGCCACTCTATTTTCGCCCCGTCCTTTACTCCGCCTCGCTTCCTCTCACCGAGTATGCTCCGCGCAAGTCGCCCTTGCTTATTGTTAGTCCCGATGCTGTGCCAGGTATTAGTCGATTTAAGTGTATATATTGATCAAAAATTAACAAAATAGTTATTAAAATAAAAATATGTACAAAGATTATTTCTATTACTGGATTATACATATAAATGATTAATAATGACACATAATAATTTATTTATACGTTAATTAAACTCCTATCTAAAATACTTAGCTGAATTTACAAATCAAAAATATAAATATCTCAAATATGTATTTCTCGCAATAATCGAATAATCAAAATCCTGCTTAAAGTATCAAAGTTGATGATTGAAAATTGAAATTAAAAAAAAAGAAGAAAAATCTCAATCCAGAAGAGTAGATGATATATCTATCAAATCTCATTCTCATATAACAATGTCAGCTATTTCGATTCTGAACCGACGAATTAATCCGGAACAATGTCACTCGATCGTGTTGCAGGAGACAAACGGCGGAGGAGCGGGAGGCTGAGAGACAGGCCGCGAATCGGCTGATGCTGTCCCTTCAGGCCGAGGCCCTCGGCAAGGTGGCGTACCCAACGTCGGTGTCTGGGCATCCGGGTGGCACGCCAGTGTCCAGCTTGGACGGCAGACAGCAGTCGTCGGCGACGGCATTGACCCATCCTGGGGTGGGCCAGTGGGCCTCCCCTTATGGTCCACCGCAGCCTCTCGCCGAACCAATTTGCTGAAGCGCGACGACGAATCGAAATAGTCTCGCCAAGTGAACCGTCGCACCATCGTCTTCGTCTCGCGTCCGACGAGGATCAGATCGGAACGAGTCGGATATCAAACTCGCTCGTTCATCAATTTCGATCTATGTACATTCCGTTCCTTCATTTGCTTCACGAGATTAGCGAACGGCGGGACACTCATTCGCTCATCGGTCAATCAATATAAGGTAATGATAGAGGAGATTTTTTTTTCATTTGTTTTTCTAGAATAGTTATACGAAACGTAGGCTACATTCTAGAGCATCGCCTTCCTTCTGCCTTACGATATTCAGGCGACAACCATGAACACGAACGTCCTAATGAGCACCGCGAAATCGAACATATGTACATTGCCTTACGCACCACGTATTCTCGGAGTTGTACCGCTTGTTTAGCCACAGCTCGAGGTTTTGCCATATTATTGTCACGGTTTAAGCAGTTAAGCAGCCGCGAGCAGCCGATATATCGTCAATACGACACGATAATCGTCCTGAATTTATCATGTACGAAAAATCGGATCGCATTAAAAGCGTCCGTTCTTCCTCGCGAAATGAAATTGTCGCCATTAAGCCCGGTTGACGCGACATTATCGACATGTACGTGTCTCAATTCGACGAAATAAAGCCGTGGGAGTGAGAGAAATCCTCTCCGAACGTTATTTTCAGATCGCGTCAAATGAGTCCGAACGTTCCGATAATTTATTGACCTACTCGATCTTTTCTAAAGGGAAGCTGTACGTTATGCATCGTGTCGAGAGAAATCGTTGATTGCAAAAGCGAAGACTAAGGTCCGTATTTACATCCTCATTTAACATCGCATTTCACGCTGGATGTGGCCGGATAAATTCTAAACATTATCGTAGATGCACTAGCGAATAATCAGTTAAGAGGAATATATTGTTGAGAGGGAGGGATAGAGATTCAATTCTTTTTTTAACGACTAAAAATATTTTTCCATCATAAAAATGTAAATGCGGACCTAATGGAACAGTTGACATGACATATCTTGTGTACATATTAGGCACCATAGTTGTAATTAGACATTATATTATACTTGTACGATATGAAATATACTTGTATACGCGAAAAAGAAAAAGCGCTGTCGTGACAACGTATCGACGGCGTACGTTCTCTTTGATTGTTATATGCGTCCTGTATATATTACTTTGCGCAACGCGCGACAAGAAATTCAATCAAGATTACATTATATCCCGGAATATTATTATGATATTATTATTACATATATATATA